ATGGAGTTTCTGGTCAAATACATGAAGACATAACTCTCAGTTTAAGCTCTCTCATTTGAAAGATGCATTTGTGAAACATACCACTTGTCGTTTAGGACAAAGGATGCAAAGGGAACGGGAAATCTAAATATCTCCAGAGGGAACGTTTTTTCTTGTTATACTATGTATATAGTGTGCAGCTAAAAGCCTTTATAATGATAGTGCTGAGGAATGGGGCCTACACAGGTGTGATAAGTTACGTACTTTACACTTCACTGTACCATCGCAGTGATTTGTGGGTCATCATTTGATCCATGGTGTTTCTAAATCCATTTTGTAATGAGATGAACTTAGCACCCACTTCTGCTCTGTAAGCATGTCAAAGCTTAGGATGGTATGGCAGCATTTTGTTTAATTTAGTAAGATATATGATTTTAAAGAGGAAAATTAGGGGTATGTCTCTGCAAGAGACTGATGATTAGAATAAGGGGAGAGAATTTGCCTTTCTTCCATTTCGAGAAGAAGTAGAATTAATTCCAGCAGAAAGTGTGGCAATTGAATGGGGAAGGGAGGGCTGATGAATGGGGAATGAATGAAGAAAAGTAGTTACAGGAGGTGGATATAAAGCAATGAGGCATCTTTTATGCACACATGAAGCTGATATTTGAAGGTAGTGTCCTTCAAAATTACCTTGAGAGCATATATCTGTATTCCAGGGATGTTGCCAGTGCTCAAAACATCTTAGGCATGGCTCTTGGAGATTTTTCTTGCTACTTGTTATAGTATGGTTGTGCAGTTAACATAATTTCATAATGAAGACAATTACATTACTTTCATCACTTTGCATGTTTGTAAATGGACAGAAGAAGTATTCTATGGATCAGAGTGTCCCTGTCACCAGCCTTTACATACTGTGGCATATTCACTAAGCCTTCATAGAAAGACTGCTGTGTGGTAGGCACAATCTGACTCTCAAGTGCTTAGCTCTAGCTCTTTCTGTTCACAAGGACCAGGGCACACAATTAAGATCAAAGTCTGTCTTATAAAGCGATTCTGACAGGACAGTGACCAGAGACAAAGAAAGCACAGTACCAGGCAAATCCCTAAGGAGAATTCCTGTCACAAGAGTAACAAATGCTGTCTTGGTTCATCTGATGGGACACAGGTGTTGCTTTGATATATAGAACACTTTGAAGTAGTATTTATTATAAAGTGATTTTATGTGTTGTTAGACACAGACTGAACAGAGGAGGAATGTTAGATAGATTCCCATAAGTGAAATTCTCAGTTCACTCAGCTGGAATTTAGAAATACATGCAATTTTGCTCAATATATCATTCTCGTTAACACATTGTTATTGGGTGTACTATGTGTTAGGTGTGGTACTAGAGGTTCAGGAAACAGCGATGTATAAGACAGACATGATCCCTGCCTCGTTGATGTGTACATTTATATTTAGATGTTAAAACATATAGTAATGAGTGACAAATTTTACAGGGATGTTTCAAGAGCGGTGAGAATATATTATAAGTACATATATAGTCTAAATGTCTGGGGACACTTCTTTAAAAAAATAAAGAAACAATGATATTTAGAGAGATGGAAGGTAAAGGAAGAACGTTAAGGTGGCGGGAATGGTACTTCTGTGTTGGGGTAGAGTTGCAGAGGAAGAAACGCTGTAAGAGCTGGTAAAGTTAAGGTTGGAAAGATCACACATGGGCTTAAATAAAGGTATTATTGAGGAGTTTGAAAGATATTCTAAAAGCCACAGGAAGCCAAGGAAATATTTTCAAAACAGAAAAATGGTTAGATTTATGTTTAAAAAGTTTATTCATGTAACGCTCAGGGACTACGACTAGTGTCTAGAGTCCAGGAGCTCTTTAGGGCTAATCTCTAAGTCCTAGTAAATTGTTTTTAAAAACCTTGTAATGTGTGGAGGCTGGGGAACCTGGTAGCAGAAGTGATTTAGAATAGCCTGGGAAATAAAGTTCCTGCCATCATCAAGGGTCAGGGTTTGGGGAGCTGTCCACAAGGCAGGTGCTGAACAGCTGAAGCCAGGAGCTGCCTAGGGAAGCTTCGTGGGATGTGGGCAGGTTGGTGCAAGGTGTTAACAACTACCTCAGGGGTGGGAGGAAGGAAGCTGGTCCTTTTTGTCTTTTATCCATTTTAGTTTTCTCTTTTTTTTATTTATTTTCTTCTCCTACCTTCTCCTTTCTCCAATATCCATTTGGTGGCGACCCAGGCAGCTGTAGCTCACTCTCTCTGGAAGGAAGGGGGAGGAGTGTGCTTCTTGCTCCTCCTCCACCAGCAATTTCCACTTATGAGGAGTCAACAGACTATTGATGATTGCAAATTCACAAGCCCACCTTAATCTTAGGGTTTCATGACTGGTTATTGCTAAATTAGTCATCCCAGACTCTTCTAAGGCATTAGGTAGGGAGATATTATTACTATCACATTATGGTTATTATTTGTAATTATCACTGATTAAGCATTTGGTATGGACCAGGCATTTCACCAAGCACTTTACTTCCCTTCCTAAGACTGTACTATCTCTTGTGTTTTATAGAACATGGCTTGACTTGAAAGATCAGAGGTTGTGATTTTTGCTATTGAATAAATTATTACTGAGGACACATAACCAAGGAATGAGAATGGAAGATATGGGAAATAAAATTCATTGATACCTACTATGCACAGATCCTTTTGATAGCCCTTTTACTTAGTCTCATAACAATCCTGTGAAATTGTACTGTTATTATGCTCATTTTACAGATGAGGACACTGAGGCTCAGAGAGGTTATATAATTAGCTGAGATCACACAACTAGTAAATGGCTGAGCCAATTTTTAAATTCAGGACTGTTTGATTCTTAAGCCTGTTTTCTTTCTTCCAGAGTGCTTCTTTAGCTTAATGGGCAAATCACATCCACAATCTCGTTTGATTTTAGCAAGTGAAAACTGCCATGCCTCATTCTTCTGCAGTTACATTTGCCTCTGGGTCTTGATGCCTCCTATGTCAGCTCTGGGAAGGCAGCTTCCAACAACAGAGCATGTCAGTGGTGTGCAGCCTCCCAGTGAATAGAGGCACTCGTTTTCTGTAATTGTACCCTTATTAGATCACAAGGCATCATCAAACCAAACTGGCTTTTGTCTGAATCCCTACTGGACGGTTTGGTCTCAGTATCAATATTAGGAATGTCAGTCTGGTAAACAGCCTTTCACAAGCGAGGAGGGAGGCTGAGAACAAAGCCTCCTTCAAATAAGACTCTAGTGGTTGGAAGTGAACAGAGTCAACATCTTACTTGCTTTAAATCCCCTGGAGTGGCTATGAAAGACAGAGGACTTGCTGGATTGAGGAAGGAAAAAAATCCCTTTGATTCATCTGAATTAATTTCCCATCTCCCAGGAGGGAGAGGCCTGGCTTCACACTCATGTTCTCCTCCCCCTGCACACAGCCCCCATCACCCCAAAGGATAAAAGACTAGTCTATGGTCTAGTAGCCCACACCTCCCTTTTTCTTCACTTTAATTAAATCCATTTGTTCTGGGGTCACTGAGCCTCGGGATGTCCAAGGGCTTTGATCTTTAACCCATATGCATCTGAAGGAGTGGGTAGCTGGTGCTTGGAATGAGGACAATTCCTTCTTCCCATGGCAGCACAGCTTGTTATGAACTCCTGGAAACAGCAGATTCTGTGAGGCTTGGGTGAAAAATCTGGAACCCAGATTTATACTTACAAAGCTGAATGCCAACTGGCATTACCCTCCACCTTGCTTTGAGCCTTTGCTCTCATTTTTTGAAGGTGGATCCACTAGGTTGGTAATTTAAATATGTTTTAGGTGACTAGTGCAGAGGCTGCTCTGGACTGTAGGGTTTCACCTTTAGCCTATAAAAGATGATTTTCCCCCTCCAGATCCGTTTTCTGTCTGCTTTATAGAAATGATCCCTTCTCTCTTTTTGGTGTGGAACAGATCAGCACCAACCATCGGGGGTTCAGTAGGACACAGCAGTGTCACATGAGTGCTGCTCTGCCAGGCCATCTTTATTCAAGCACTGCTTGCTTTAGGCTGACTGCAGGTGGCAGAGTAGTGCTATCCTGGGAGACAAGTAGCAGCGAACTCCTTGGCGACTGCTTCATTCCAGAGCTATGCAGAGTTAATGATCTTTTAGTCAACTCTCTCAGTTTAAAGGGAAGGAAACTAAGGCCCACAGATGTCAAGGATCTTGTTCAAGGTCACAGAGATCATAGTGATAGAATTCAAATAGGAACCAGGACCCGTGGTAGAAGCAGTCCCCTGTTTACTGAAGAACTTCTCACCCACCCTCGTCAACCTGCCCCGGGACCTGACTCAGCAGAGCACTGGACTTGGAGTTGGGCCTCGTGCCAGATTCCAACCTACTGGTGCCTCACCTCTTTGATTCTCAGTTTCTCTTCCTGTAAAAGGACAGGAGTGGGGGATGATGATAAGGCCTGTCCTACCTACCTAGCAGATTTTGTTGTTAATAAGAAAAAATAAAATGTCAAATGGGAAAATCAGGCAAAATCCACCAAGTAAGAGAAAATGCTATGTACATATAAAGCCTGATTATTATTTGGGAATAATGTGAGTTGTTTAATTTTATTTCTTCCTATAAATACTGGAGGCGGCCAATCACATCAGCCTAAAGATGTAGAAGATGAGTGAACATTAGCAACAAAATCTCTTGGAGAATCTCACGCTCCGGGTAACCTGCAGAAAGTGCGTGTGTGGGTGTGGGTGTGGGTGTGTGGGTGTGTGCATGCACATCTGCTTGTGTGTCAGGGCTAGAAGATGAGTGAACATTAGCAACAAAATCTCTTGGAGAATCTCACGCTCCGGGTAACCTGCAGAAAGTGTGTGTGTGGGTGTGGGTGTGGGTGTGTGGGTGTGTGCATGCACATCTGCTTGTGTGTCAGGGCAGAGGACATGGGGAGAGGAAAGACATGATCCCCTCCTGCCTTATGGCTGATAGAGGAAAAGGGAGTGGAGGGGATGGGTACCTGTCGGACACGTCGAGGAGAGGCAACACAGTCCACTGCCACAGGCTCAAGCCTTCATTGGCGCCAACATGCCAGACCATCCTGCTTTGTTCTTTTCCAGTTTTGTTCTCCACCAGCACCAAGGACACATTTCCTCTCAAAATTCCACGGATGAGCCAGGACATTCGGAGCTGTGAGGGAGAGAGGAGCCAGAGGACAAGGTTTTCATGTTGAAAGGAAATCTTAGGTCCCCTTCCTAGAATTCTCAGCTGAAGCCCAAAGGATTTTGCTGGTAACTCAGCAAGAAAAGCTGGATGCCCACTGCCCGATCTCACTCTCTATCTCCCAAAGCATCTTTCATTAAAGTTCAAGGAGCTGGGCAGGAATAACCAATGGCTAATTTAGGAGTGTTGTTCAGGTTGATGATGTCATCCAAAATTTCACAAGACTCTGCCTCTGAGGTGATATCAAGATCAATGAGGTATTAAGTGAACTTCCTAAAGAGTAGCCAAAGATTCTTGTCTGTGGCTACAATTCACTTGGTGACCTTGGGCAAGTGATTTTGTGACTCAGTTTCTTTTAGTGATTTAGCCATCATCGATTTTTACTCCTTTTCCAAAGACTCTAAGAATCTTATTTGAATGATGTCATGACACGTGTTAGCTAACTGTAAACCTTATGACTTGATACTGGTGGCCATGGGTTGGAAAAGGTCAGACAAAAATATACATATCAAGATGTTTTAATATAGTTGTTTTTCAGAGAGAGAATGCCCACTTTGCCAAAAGGAAGCTACAATTGCATGTATTCATGTGTCTATATGGAAGGTTTCTATGGCATTGTTTCCTAGACATTTGAAAGGGAATTATAAATAATAATTTTTCTAAGAGAGTTAAGTACAGTCATGCTCAGAGGCAGTACATACCATAAACAAGGTCTGTGGTCTTTGTGTTTAAAATAATAGAGATTGATGGAAATAATCTATAAACAACATTTAAAGTTAGGACAACTACAAAATATTCCTGTTCAGATTTTGTATAAAATATGGCTATTGTAGAATGAAGGGTAAAATATGTCTGGGACAAGCCCCTTTTCTCTGCTTCTCATTGTTTGAAGACCTGTTTCTCTGTAAATCACCACTGCTTTGTCTTCCAGTTCCTGACTCATGACTGCCTCACCATTTGATGAAAGAAGTTACGTACCGTGAGGCACTGTATCCAAACCCTCTCTTGCATAGAAACCCTTCACTAACAAGTCCACACCTGGGCATTGGGGGCCCTAGACACTGATAGGGCCTGAGAGCCTTGACCTGGTAAGTCTGGTCTATAACTACAGCCTCTTCACTTATGCCTTTTCCATCTTCCATATCCAGAGTAGCAAATACTTGTCTCTATTGAGACCTCCCAGGATAATTGAATGACTCCATTAATTTTTTTTATCTGGCCCCAGTTGGCTTTCTTGTGCTGTCTGGATGCTGTCATTGGAAATTTTAATACTACCCCTGCTAGCTCTGAGCTCTTTCAGCCCTCAGCCCACCTTGCAATGCCCAGCTTAGGATCATGCTGGACACATGCGCTCTCTCCTCTTGTTCCTTGACCACAGAATAATGCTGATTTGGATTTCTATGAATCCAGACTGTGGGACCTCCATGCCCTGGATGGTTGGTGGTACTTATTCATCCTCTATTGATTTCCAAAGTTAATTTCTGGATGTCTGGACACACAGAGCACAATGGGTATTTCTTTCTTTTTTTTTTTTTTTTTAGATTTTTCAATTTGTTTATTTTTTTAAGTTTTAAGATGTTGTGGAGGGGCGGGAGGGGGCGGGGGAAGAGGAGTGGGGAGGCGGGGAGGCCCATGGCTGACTCCTTTGCTGGCCTGGTTGCAGATGGCAGGGGGGCATGGCTCAGCACAATGGGTATTTCAAACTCTTCCTCAAATACTGATGCTGTCATCACCTGGTCCCCAACTGCTGACCTATTAATTTGATTCCTTCTTCACTGAGAAAGATCTACAATCTCCCTCAGCCTCCCCCTGCTGTTTTTTTTTTTTTTTGTAGTGTGTGTCTATTTATCCATCCTTTTTCTTCCTTTCCTGTCTTAAAAGAAGATATGTCCTTCAGTTTCTTCTATATTAGCCCCTTCCCATTTTCCCTTCCCCTAGTCCTTGCTCTTTCAGTTTCTGCCTTTCTTCTCCATCACCTTCCAAGTCTCTCTACCTCTGGCTTATTTTGTTGACAAATAAGATAACGTTTCACCCATTCTAAAAAAATATTCTTTATTTGCTTCTAGCGCCTCTGGCTCACCACCTATTTCTGTGCCTCTATTCAGATGTTCGCATCTTGGACAACTGGTCTGTAACTGCTGCTTCTATGTTGCTTATTCTCTTGTTTAAATTCTTTCAACCTGGCTTTTATCCTCATTTCCTCACTACTTGAACAAAATAACACTCACCA